ATCGCTCGCTCGATCTCTCGCGCGGCCATTAAACATCACTCGAACGCGCTCGTTAAGAGCACCTCTTAAATTATTAATACGCCACGCTGGAATTCTTTCCGACAGCCGTGTAAGCGCACGAGAATATGATGAAATCAACAATCTAACAACGAATTCAGGTACGACACCCATCGAACGATCGAGCAACGACGATCCAAACGATCGACGTCGGAGGGTTGAACTTTTGAAAGACCTTGTCGAAAGACGAATTCTTTTCGAGAAAATTCTTTGATTTAAAGACTTTTCCTTTTCCCAATCTTAAAATTTAATTAAAATTAAAGAACGCGAACAGATATTTTTCTTTTAACGATCGAATACCGAAATCTTCCAACCGATTTATACGCTATTTGTAAATCCTTCGGACGAATACACAAACGTACCGCGTTTCGAATTATCAATCATCGCCAATGGAAATTTTATGCCGATCCATTTTTCTCTGCCCCTCGTTCCCACTTTACGTCGCCTTTTTTTAACCGAAGTGTGTCAACCGAATGGCCGAAAGCGTCCATTCGATCGCAGAAGGTGATTTCAATTCGAACGCGTAGCCTCGATTAGTTAGGTGTCAGTTGACGTCTGTTAAGGCACTTGAAATGCTAATTTCTCTAGGTGGGGCCTTTGTAGAAAATCGGTCGCCTTCAATTCCTTTACCCGGTTTCCTGTTTCACCGACGGTTCACCTTCTACGGGAAATTGAATAGCTTCGCATTAACATGAAATACAAATTGCCGATACTCTTTGTCCGGGTTTTCGCGAATCTATCGTACGCGTGCACGACCTAGGAATGTGTGTGCTCGTGGAATGTTCGTCGCTAACCTTGAGGGACCTCGATAGGTCGTTATGCTTCTTATAGAAATCCCTGTCTTCCTGTCTCTCGGCTTATCGTTAAACGATTCTTTCACGATAATTTAACAGCTATGGCGTTTGTTGCTACGCTTTAAAAAGAATGGAATGTGGTTTAGCGATTAAATTTTTCGGATCGAGGAAAGCGGTTCGTCTTTATCGTATATTTCGTCTGAACGAGTTCTGAAAAGAAAGAAACCTACGTGAGTTTGGCCGAAACGAAATTTTACGATGAAGAACGACGAGGTGATCCCGTACGAATGTTACGAAGACGATGTGTGTTAATACGTTTCGCGAATGGGAGGCTTCACGGGCAAAAGTTAACCGGAAACAATATCGTTTTATCACCCCGTCGACAATTAGCCGAAATGAATCGTCCCGAGGTGGAGATATAACGGCACAACGTTGGGATGTATCGTTAAGAAGCGTACGACTCGGCACGAGCTCACAGTGAAAAAAATGATAATGATCAAAGAGGGTGTCGGCATGACGTCAGTATGCATTTCTCATCGCCCTCGCTCTGCTCAGATTACTGACGGCTGTTCCGCCGAAGAAATCCCTTACAGGAAAGGTACAACGGTATCAGTCATCAAGATCGTAGAATGGCATCCTGGGTGGCACCTCGTTCATTTTCGGATTGAATTTCGCAGTGACGATCACACGAAAATTATTCATACCATCAACCAGGGGCGTGGTCGTCCCTGCGGGTTTATAACGGAGTATGTGGTACTTATGTATTTTGTCGTTCGACGCAAATCGCTGTGGGCTTTACGAAACGGAAGGATGCTTCTTGAACAGGTGAGAAATATCTGACGAGCGTTTCCAACGAAATTTCCATCGAACGTGATTCCTTGTTTCGCGATCGATCGTTCGAATGAAAATCACAGATAAAATGATAGAAATCGTAGATGTCGAAGTAGGATGAAGACGAAGCAATTGGCAACAGTGAATCGAAGGAGTAACAACGAAAGCAAGGATCTTGAATTAAATTTACGTAAGATATGAAGATTCGGTTAATACGATTAGCGAAATTTTCCTCGTTTGTTTCGAACGACATTTAAACGAGAGTATCGAGAATCTTGTAACTTGATTTCCATGAATCTCGACCGAATAAAGCAACGCTTGATATATCTCACTGGTCCTCTGGACGAGGATTCGAATGGTCGCGTTATGAAATGTGTACAAGCACGAAGATTCGCGTGACTTAAGGCACTAACAGTATACTTAAGGCCTAACGCAGCGTTCTCTTCCTTAACGTTAAAAGGCACTATTCCCTATCAAAATACAACACATAACAAGTATTAATTTATCAATCTTCGCACTAATCTTACACGTAGAGGTTCCTTTCTTCTTTTTTAACGATATAAACTGGCTCTAGCATATACTGGCATCTTGTTCCATCGTATTTTTTTTTTCTTTTTTCAACTAGCTTCGAAATAGTTTTTGTTTTGTCTTCTTGTGTTTCGCCTACCTTTAGCCACGTTACTGACGCGGTGGCAAAGGGAACAAAAAAAAAAAAAAAACATTAAAATGAAAAGAAGATACAGGTTCGAAGAAAACGGGGGAATGCTACACATGTGCTATACGTACGCAGACGTCGCGTTACTCAAGGTTTCTAAACTATTTACAAGCTTGCAATTCGCGAGCTATCCGATTCTCGTGCGATACATCTGGCTAACGCCACGGCAAACTTAACTTCCCCTCGACGTAGTCACTCGCAGGAAAAAATGCAATAATGCGGTATCGCGCGATACTTTCAGCGTAGCCAACAGACCCTTTATAACACCGTGTTTCCTATTGCACCTTCTCCTTCGAGTAGCTTCGTTTAAGAACGTATCGCGTGACGTTACCGTGGTTTTACACTTGCGACGCACAGAGTCGATGCCTTCGTACGATATGTTTTGATATATATATATATAGAATTTCTTTGATAACGTTACTTTCAGGCTCGTAATTCGTTTATGCACTCGACGCATTTAGATTGACGACAATTGAACAGCCGACTCGGTGCATCATCAATTACACGAACTCTGATACACGTACTCTTTTTCTCAAAACCACGAGGAACGTAGACATACGTTCTGCGTTTCTTTTCTTTTTTTTTTTCTTCTTCTTCTTTTAATTCTTCGTTCGTTTCACGAGCGAAGATTAAATTCTTTTTATTGGCCTCGAATGTATTTTGCTTGAGCGATCTCGTTTCGTAATAGATGCCAAAATAAAATGTGCAGAAATCGAGCAGGAAACGCTCGATTTTTCTTTTCGTGATGATGCTTGACACGTGGCACGATTCGACGAGACGTGTATCGCGGTGACGTGTTCGACGAACGGGATGCAAAAGCGTTTAAAAAATAATTCTTCGATCTGCTTTCTTCTCTCTTTCTCTCTCTCTCTCTCTCTCTCTCTCTCTCTCTCTTTTTTAACAATTGAGCGTAATGTATCAATAGACATCTTCGTTCGTACAATACGTTTGCACCTTCTACTTTGGCACCTTGTTTGTGTATACGCATGGCTGAAAAGGCATACCGGCTTCTTTACCGATACGACCGAAGAAATTTTTGCATGATCGAACGAAAGAAAGACTCGTAAAAGCATCGCAATGCCGTCGATAGTATACACAATTCTATTGCTTAATGCACACGTAATACTGGCTTTCAGAGCGTCAAATTCCCTTGTTTTCTTTGACAATGAAAACATCGATGATTGTCCGTCCCTAAACGCGAAATTCTTTGTGCATAATCTGATAAATCGCTATTTAATGCATTAAAAAATGTTTAACGATCACGATTTGTAGTTTATTTAACTGAGCATGCTAAGTCCCAAGCTCCGTCACCGGAGTTCGATATTCTCTTTAATTATTAACCGTTTAATTACCTTAACGATATTACTTCCTTCTTCTCCTTTTACTGGCTCTATTCTTCGCAATAGACGATACATATGGTGCTCTAGACTAGTTGAGCTGGCCTTATTTAACCGTACAAAAAAAAAAAAAAAAAAAAAAAAAAAAAAAAATGAAAACAAACTGGACATACGAACAAGTAAAAATTGGCTAGAATTAAAAACAGAAGTGACCGCGTGCTACTTGCGGAAAACCCGCAGCAATCGCTCCTCTCTACTATCTACGCTCGCTTTTTTTTTCTTCTATCGTCGAAGCTAAGCTTCGTTCGATATCCGTTTTTCTTTTAAATACACCTGCACAAAGAATAAATAAATTTCCATCGAATATTTTAAATATCAACGATTCTTACGCTACGTACGTTCGCCATAAAAACAACGCAAATCGAAAATAGAAATTTGTCTCTCACAGAGGCAGTACAACAAGAAACAAAGTAAAAAAATTTCAACGATTCGCGTTGTCACGATTGCTAGCAGGCTCGTCGCACGATTATTCACCAATAATTGCAATGATACTTCCATTAGATTAACTCATTTGCATCATGGCCCTACTTAAGAGGACTGGTCCCTATCACCACGCGCGGTCGGTCGTAGGCGCAGTGAATGACATCCAAATTCTTCATAGTTTATCGGAAATTTAAAACGATTGGTAGACAATGTTGCTTCGTAAACATCGCATCTTACATTCTTTATAACAGAGAAAAAGAAAAGAAAAAATTATTTATTTAAAAAAAAAATAAGAAAATAAATCTTGTTATTTCTCGTGGAATTCTTTAAAATGGTCAATACAATAAACTGATATAGGCGAGATGCTGACAAACAGGTCGAACATGATCTCTCATATCTGAAGAATATTTAGCGACTGATAGAAGACAGATAGAAGACAGTCGTCCGATTGCGTAATAATCCGCGCTGGGTGATAGAAGACAGTCGCAGAACGCGGATTATTCCGCGCTTGGATGCAAATGGGTTAAACCTCTAAACCTAATGAACGATTCGTTTGCTTCTTCATTTTTTTCTCCTAGTTTCCGCCTCCGACTCTTCACGTTCTCGTTGAAAACGATTCGAGCAACGATGCGAGGCTCTTCAGGTCCCGAATGTAAAAAAAAAAAAGAATCATCGTCGTCGTCCACGATCACGATTCGTGTCCCGGTTTCCCGAGACAAAACGGTCTCTACCCCTTCTTCGATCTGCTCTATCTTTCCTCCAACGGCTAGATGGTCCTCTTTATCAGTGCCTTTTCATGTGAAGCGATAAATGATCGCTCCGCGAAAACGATCGCTGACAAAGATGGCACTTGAACGGCTTCTGGCCCGTATGCTTGCGGTAATGCCGTGTTAATTCGTCAGAACGAGCGAATTTCCACGTGCAACCCTCCCATGTGCACTGGTACGGTTTTTCGCCTGCAACAAATCAGTGAATCTTTATAAACCTTTGCTCCAAACATAGGGTAAGAGCTTGATATTTAGTTAATACTTAATAGAGTTAAGATTTGAGTTTGCTATAAAAACTTTCGTCGATTAACATCGTTTGTTTGCTGCAATTTACCAAGTTCGAAGTTACAAGGGGATCGTTGCATTCGAAACGATAGAAGCCAATGGAGAATTGATCAGCAAGTTGTATCGGTGCAATCGCGTGAAAAAAAGAAACCAACGAGATGGTAGGATCGTTCCGCATTGTTGCGTAATTTGCGTTGAAACGTAATGAGAAGCGTAAACGTGGTGAAACATAAAACCTCGTGCTGGATTCGCTTTAGATTTACGGCCCGATGCGTATGCACACGTATGCCCGATTCCTTTCATAATCTTCTTAGTACAGCCACTTATTTTCTTATGCGAACGAAAGTCCACGTCCTTGGGCAATTTATAGGGATACGTTTTATGCGTTTTCAAATTTACGATCAAAAGATATAATTGAAAAGTGGTGCCGGTCATTTGCCAGCCTTTATGCACCTGACTGGCTTCTAATGATTCTTCAGGGGCTTCGTTTCCGAACAAAGTATCGTCGATTCGAAATATCGAACGAGCCAGCAGCAAGTTGCAAAAGCGATACGATAAATTTACATCGCGTTAAAATTGAAAATGCCCTGACAAATCGTTCGAATACCCCACAGAAAGCAGCATATGCCGCGATAAATTTACGACCAAAATTAACTTCGATTTCCTGTCGTTCGATTTCCCTTCGATTATTTCCGAAAGCCAACGTCGCTCCGTTTTTCGTCGGCGTAAAATACTCGATCGAAGTTTGGCGCGCTTGATAAGCATCGATGCACACGGCAATATCGCCTCGGTATTTGCGAGTATACGTCGATACAGGTACATTTCCGAGCGTTTACCCGAGGTGACTCGCGTCACGGTGTGCCCGCAGGTTTATTCTTGACTCTTATCGAGCCGAGCCTCTCTCTCTCTCTCTCTTTCTCTTCGGTAAGGACGTCGTGACAGCTGTCGCGCGTTGCAACGACTCCGGATCCCTCAGAAAACTGCCCATCACTCTCTTCTATTGTATGCAAGTCACCGAGCGTATTTCTCAGTCCGGTGTTCTGCACGATTTGCCGAAGAAAGGGAGCGAGAAGGAGATGTAGACGGCGTGTTCGCCAGAGGTGGGAACGGGGAGAAGGAGAAAGAGAAAGAGACGAAATGGGCAGAAAACGAGAGTAAGAGGGTTTAGGGTCTAAAAACGTAGCCGTCGTCGAGCCGTCTAGATGTAGAAACAGCCTGGTCACAACTCGATGACGCAATCGCTATCAAGTTCCGTCGTTCGAGAGACCGGAGACGAGGACGAGCCGGAGAAAATCGAACGGTGCGATCAGGCAGCCAGTTCCCGATCCCATTAAACCGCGAGAGTGGACGTGGATAATGGGGGACGACGGAACGGCGATGTTCCATCGCGAGCTTCTATCTCGTGAAAAGTACACAGCACCATCGTTTGATCGATATATTCGCGCGTGTCACCGTTGGATCCTCGATCTCTTTTACAGACTCGAACCAGCCACCTTCACCACGCGATTTTCTCGTTCCACATAAACGATTACGCGTTTTTCGTCGTGCTGGAATTGCCGTAGATCGATACTCGAATAAGTCAGGGACACGATTATCGGACATCGGTGGCTCGGTCCAAGCTCGAATGCTCCAGGTTTGTTCGAAGCTCGCTCGTTACTCGGTTAATTACAACATCAAATGTGTCATGATTTCTTTGATAACTGAATGAATATTATCATAGATTATGCACGGGAGATCATCTTTCGATATATTACAGCGTAGGCTGTTGGTAATTTATTAGATGGGTTTTTAAACGATCGATAGGATGATACGAAAGAGCCCAGCAACACGGATGTAGCACATGGACGTTCAAACAGGCTGTGCTTTCCGAGAGTTATTGCTCCATGTACGATCAAAAAGAAGCGGAGAACCGATTCGTGGCGCGACAAGCGCGAGCGGACCGATCGTTTGAAACGAAACGATGGTAGATATCTAAATCGGTCGTTTTAACGTTTCAACGCCCATTGACTGAATATTATTATGTAATTCGCTGGGAATACGAGGAACTAATGACGAGGAAAAAAGCCGTGCTCTCGACCGTTACGTAATTGCGAGTAATTAGTCCATTTACGAGCGGCACGAACACGTACGCCATGAGACGTGCATATGCACGCAATATCGGCCAATGTGCAAGCACCGGCGCAAACACGCCGCCAAGAAGGCATTAATTTTCCTGTTATTAATGCATTTTGATTGGATTTTTACGTAGGCAGCGTTACGTTTATTGCACCATAGATTAACGCCGCGTTATACCGTCCGGCTCCATTAATTAACCGCAACAGCGAACTTAGCCACTCATTTGTAACGTCACTCTGATGTCGCGGCACGTATAAATCCCATGTTATATTAAGCCAACGCGATGCGTGTCGAACTTTTTCCTTTTTTTTTTTCTTTTCGTTTCGTCCGCTCACCAGAAGAAGAAGATCTCCTCTCTTATTCTCTTTCTCCGTACTGGAACAACGCTCGGTATAACGAGCTCGAGGAAAACGAACCATACCTTTTTCCAATTTAATAGCCGTTTTAACGTTAATTGGAACGGTATCATGTCCGTTTACGTAAAATATCGCAAGAATTAACGTCTGTGAATCGAAATTGAATTGCGAAACGCGGTCTAATCCGGCTAGTGGAAAAGAAGGAGAGAGAAAAGAAGGTCGTGATCTCGTGAGAAATCTTCGATTAAATTAACGTCATTTATTAAAGTGAAAATTATCGATTACGAGAAAGGAGAATCACTTCGATCCGGCTTATTGAACAACCTCGGCAAGTGGGTCAACGATAAACGCTAATTAAAAACGACACGGCGTAATTAAACGTGGTACCCTTCGCGGTACTTTTAACCATATCGCGACTTCTTCCTGCAACACGATTCATATTATAGCTTAATAATTCAACGTAAAAAGAGAGAGTATAGCAGCTCCCCTTTTAACGAGGAATTATTCTTAATGAGTTTACGAGCGTATATCTTCGGATGGTCTTTTAAATCCGACAATCCAAAAATCGTCTTGGCATTTACGGTTCTTCCCCGTTGTTATGCCCCGCGGTACCAATGGAACAAATAGACGTCTTAATTCCAGATAAATTCGTCCATCAACGAAACGCTTCTCCATTGTTCGCGTTCTTTATTCGAAGATATAACAGGATTTTTATGACGACAGTGAGTTTTTAACAGAACTTCTTATTCAACGTCTTGCGAGGCTTCTACTTAACGGAATCGTTAAACGACAACTTGCCGCTGGCTACTTTTTTCTCCTCATTCTGTCAAAGCGGAGTGGAGTTACGGACTAAACGGTAAAGAAGAACATCGTACGAACAAGTACTATGTGTTCAACATTGATCGCGAGTTTTCTATCTTGTAAAGCAAAGAGAAAGACGATAATTATTCATCGTCGGAAATTTATTCGAAGCTGGCAAGGTAAAATACAACTTGAACGCATATTCAGTTTTGCTTCAACGCGCGAATCGCTTTATGTTATTTATAAGACGAGGAAGAAGCTCGTCGTCTCGTATAGATAGGTCGAGGAGAAGAAAAGGACAACGAGTACAATCGATGGCGATATTTTACGAAGATCGAGGCTCTTAACTCGTAAAACATCGCGAGTCGAATCGTCGTGTTGATGACACGGGGGACAACGATATTTCGTCCGTTCGATCCTCGAACGTGGAGAGAGAGCGCTTCCCATTATCGTTTGAGAATCTCCCGGAGGGATGATTAAGAAACCAGCTCGGATGTATGTATCTCTGGCAATTATCAGCATCTCGCCAAGATTCGCGCGGTAACGCGTTCCTCGTCTGTTCGGAACAGTTCCGTAATATGTAATTATATGGGCGACAAGTGCTGTAAAGATGAATGAATGTTGCCCTGTTCTTCAGACGAGTAAACTCCCTGTGCATCGACTACGAATGATGAATGTTTTCGAAGGCGTAAAAGAGATCGCGTGATTGTTCGAGACGTATCAATTTTGATTAAGTCCGCAATTTCCCTCGAAAGCATAAATCGCCATTCCTCGACGTCCTCGTCATTACCCACGACGGCCACGACGTAATCGTGACCGCTCCGGTAGTCTTAGAATTGAATTTCCAAGGTCTCCTAATTAACTCCCATCATCCTGTCTTCTCACAATCCTATATCTCAAAGTATTCTATTTTTTTGCCCCCATAATTATTACATCGAGTGTCCGGTGAGAAAGCAGCGGGACGAAGCGTCGCGATGCGTGTCGGTAACGAGCATCGAGCTGACAAGTAATGTAAGGGGAAAGAAGGGGAGAAATGAGAGGAGGAGAAGCGAGAGAAAGAAAGAAAGAACGAAACTTGGTAGTGGTGGTGTTGTAGATACAGAAAGGTAGACGCTGCGCTGTCAACTCTGCGTGGTGTCCGCCTAATGCGCCCTCCAGCTACTCCCGCGGTGTACGGGCTTCTTGTAAATAACAACACTCGTTAGCGGCAAGAAATACTGCAGCGATGTAATAACTCGCGGACGCGCGATTCAATTTAATCGCGGTCATTACGCGCCATTCATTATTTACGCCGTTATCGTGCTTTAATAAAATATAACAGTGGGATGCTCGTGCGTTACTCGAGAAGCTTCAATTAACCGCGCCGAAGCCGATTCATCAACGGGCCACCATTAACGTTGCGGCGAGTTCAGGATTCCCGAGACTTAGCCGGTTTTGAAGGGAATTAAATAATCGCCGACTGCCTAACAGCAATATTTGTGAGCGTGTCTCCGCTGGGAACAGCTTTAATTGTGTTTGCCTCGCTCGATTCGAGAAATAGGCCTTCCTGAGAATAAACCTCGAACCGTATATACCTTTGATCACCGGTTACTTCAATTAATGTTGCACCCGATAGGAAAGACACACACCGAGGAAACTAATGAATTTTAACGCGTTACCCACTGAGAAACCGTTCTGCTACCTTCTTCGTATGGGTAGCTGCATTGGAAACATGTTCATTCCGAGTCGTATAGTTTAGCATTTACTGTTACCCACTTTGTTTACACAACCAATTTATTTAGTAATTTCATTCTTTCTCACGATGAGGCATATCATCGTTGATTCTTGAATAACCACCAGCTATAACGCCAACGTATTCCTTCCTTTTCTGAAAGGAGCGGAAAAAAAGAGAGATCCAAGTTACGATCGCAACGATAATCACCGCGATACCGATAATCGTGGCAAATTACCCGTGGCGGAACGGCCCGAAATCCACCGACCATTCAATCCAAAAAAAGGAATTTAGTTTAAAACCATGTTCAAAACGGCGGCTTCGAGATAACGAGAATACGGAGATCATGCTCGCAAGGAAGTTGTGCTCCGCAAAGGTAATCGTAGTCCCGAACAGTGATGCATAAGTACATTGTTAATGGTAGGTCTGATATACCTTGAGTCCACGAAGGGACGAGAAATCAGTGTTTTCCTTCGATACACGAAGAGCTCGTTGTCTAGTTTATACCGAGGCTAATACGCCTTAATTAATACACGAGATTTTGCCGAAACTCCCATTGTTTACCAAAAGTCACGCTGTTTCATCTAGCGATTCTCGTGTCGCCTCGTTCTTTTACGTACGCCATTCATGGACTAAGTACGATCGTATCGTACGAATCGAGCGATTTTGGATAATCTAGGGATTAAGTATTTATTAGCGCTGGCTGCGGGTGTGCTTCACGTCGATCAGCGCATCGTGAAAGCGGCAGCGCTATTATGGAGAACCGTAGCCGGCATTTACCGTATCCTCGTAATATTTCGCCTCCCCTGGCCGCACAATGTAACTTCCGATGTTCGTGGCGTGTGTTCGGGAAGATACACGATATCGAAAGCGGTAGCAGCGGCCCGCTATTACTCCATTATACAGTTTGCGAGCGGCACGATATAAATTCGATGCAAATTCTACTGTTCGAGCCGTGAGAATCATCAATCATGGTTAGCTGGCTTCGATTCGCTGTTTTTCGGCTTGTTGGTTGTGAGAGCCGATCGATTTCGGAACGATGGCGCTCGACAACCAACGATTCGAATTGTCAGTAGCAAAAAATGGAAGTTTCGGAATTTCATTCTGATTTTAACTTCAGAGAAATCGCGTTAATAAATGAAAGATTTATGCGCTGCAAACTGTGCATTTTAAAACCAAATGTTATCGATCACTCGGTGCTCGTTCTGTGATAAAAAGAAACTCCAATTTCCGAGTACCCTTGAATTCCTGAACTTTTTTCATCGTTCATCTACTTTTACCTTCATACCATACGACCACCATAGTTATCGCGAGTTCACCAGACGATAAACCGCGTGTAAAATTATTTAACAAAGCTGCCACGGCGCCTCTGATAACCCCGTTTTCCACCGACCTTTTGGAACAATAGGTTATTCATACGAGACAAATTCCAACACTTGGAGGAGCAGACGGAGCGACCGTTTCGCCGCGAGCACGATCCGCGGTAGAACGATTTATGCCGTGGAATGGTAGAAATTACAGTAATCAATGAATTGGCATTTCCCACATCCAGAGTGCCAGTATATCCGCCATCGTAAAGATATCTCGATGGCTGCATAATATCGCGGTGTTAGAATGATGGATAGACATGCCGGTCCACGTTTCTACGACCGTGCTGCACAATCGCTGAAACAATTATTACAGCAAGCGTGGCTATACGACGTACTACAAACGTTCCCGGCTCTGACATTTAAATGAAATTTAACATTTAACATCGTCTCCGTTGTCACTGTCTAAGGCCCATAATTCGCACACCAATTCGTACTGTATTTTGTCACTTTCTTTTTCTTGTCGTTAACTATATGTAGAACGGAGCAGAAGCATATTGTTGGAAAGTTAAAAGCAAACGGAAGAAGGAAGGGAAATCTCACGTCCCATTATGTCTCTAAAACTAACATCCATGGTAGAGAAACGCGGCGGAATTATAATTTTTCGCATGAGAATCCCACGGCCGCGACCGTTCGGGCCAGGTTGAGCACCGCGGTTACACCGTCTTGGTTGAACCATGGACCAGACAAAAGATCCTGGTTCTCACGACCACGCCCTCTCCCCGCCGCCT